CAGTGAGAGACAGCCTCTAAACCAGGCAGATGTCACCAAAGGAACAACACTCAAAGGTGACCTTTGTCTGCACAGTACATGCACACACATACATCCACACACATATGCACTCACATGAATATGCATGTATATGCATGCACCCATGCTAAAAATACGAGGCTCAGAATTGGTAACTTATGTCTGTAATCTCAGTACTTGGGAGTCTGAGACAGGAAAGTTAGTATTTCTGAGAGAGGCTGGACTGTAGGCAAGGATGGTATCTAAAATGGAAAGAAAGAACCTTTCCTTAATAATAAATTGATTGCTTTGTAATTTTGCTAGTAACAATGTGGCAGGAATATTTTTCTGCCATTAAAGATAATGATAGCATTAAGCATAGAACTTACTTTATAGTAAAAGAAATCATTTCACGTTAGTTATTCTCATAGTTTTTCACATGACCACCCTTTATCTTTTCTTTTCTTCTTTTTTTTTTTTTTTTTAGAACCTTTGTCTGTGTTTTGTGTTGTTGTGGGTGGAGAACATGCTTGTGCCATGAAAGTCACAGGACAAGCTTTTTCAGTACTCACTTTCCACCTCTTTGGAGGTGGGATCTCCTGTAGTCACACCCTTTATCAGTTGGTTCCTGTCTTGTTACCACATCTAGCTTTATGTGGGATTCTAGAAGTCTGGACTCCAAGCCTTACACATCTTTCTCCATCTCCCTGCCCTCTCTACTTTTTTATTCTACCCTTTCTTTATGTTTCCTCTGGTTATACTGACCTCAAGCATACTTGTTTCCTCATTACAGATTAATCTTTCGTACATGTGAACCCTCCCATCGTCCTAATGCTCTGTGTTGGGGAGCATTCTTAGCCTCGTTTGATAACTTAAAGAGCTGAGTCTAGAAAGATTAGATAATCTGCCTGAGTCCTCAGAGTAGGATGTTGACTCTAGATGGTTTCACCCCGGATGCTGTCCCCTGAACCACAGAGCATGGACAATCTGCATAGATCCAGTAGTGTCTCACCCTGACTCAGTGGGAAGCTATGCACTCAGTTTTTCTTTCAAGCTTCACAAGGGTCAAAATAATTATATGATAGTGTTATTTTTTAACTTCAATATATGTAAGTGGGAGGGTCCTCCCTGACAAGAATGAATGATACATCCAGGTCCTGAAGACCAATGCCCTCTTTTTGCCTCTGACTTGCTTTATAACATCGAGGAAGCCATCTAATAGTTCTGTGTCTCATTTCACCCATTTGCCAAGTAATGAGGGAACTAAATGACCTTACAGGCCTACTCCTGTACAGGAGGGAAAGTGAGATGGAAGATGTAGCTAAGCAGGTAAAGTGCTTGTCTAGCATATTGGAGGCCTTGGGTGCTGAACCCAGTGTAGTAGTGACTATCTGTAATCCCAGCAGTAGCAGAAGGATCGGAAGTTCAAGGTCATCCTCGGATACATAACATGAGATTCCTGAGAAAGAAAGAAAAAGATAAAATGAAATGTCAGATGATTCAAGACTAAAGTCCATCATCAAAGAGGGAAGTAGATTATGGAAATGTATTGGGAGAGTCTGGGCAAATAGCTTTATTGTTAGCGAGGTGGTGTTGGAGGCAACTAAGGATTTGTTATGACCTATTAAAATTACTATGTGATCTGTCCCTTGACCATGGCCACTGAGAAGTGTACTGTAGTGGTGTGTGAAACACGTCTCAAAGGCCTAGGTAATTATAGTCGTTCCACTGAAGCATGACAAATGGCCTCTCAATTTAAATTCTTTTATATGAAAAAGAAACTTCCATGACAACAGCCCTGGAACTTAATTACAGGCTCCAGGTTTGAAGAGATGGAGACAGTCGATGGCTGCAGAGGAGAGAGTAAAGACAATAGCAGTGAGCCACCTGGGAAGAATCGGGACAGGGTGACATCACAGTGACATAGTAATAGCAGCCCGCCACATCAGGGACTTCATGGCAAGCACAGTTCTCTCTTGGGAGCATCGAGCATCACAAAAGCACTCAGTGAATCCCCATGACACCTTAATACTCAGGGTAGGGGACAGGAAGGAGCTGTGTGTTTCACGCCACTTAGCAGTGCTTGTCTGCGGAAGGCCGTGTGCCCTGAGAGTTCATTTATAAATATGGATTATACTTATATTATAAATTTATATAGTTTTTATGGATCTTTTTTAGATGTGTCTCACTACATAGCCTTGGCTGGCCTGGAACTCACTATATAGAACAGACCATTCTCAGACTCAGAGAAGACATCAGCTGCCTCTGCCTCCAGAGTGCTGGGATTATAGTCGTACATCACCTCTCCCGGGCTCACCAATGTCTTCATTTATTTAACATGTTTTTGTTTTAGGTTTTGGGAGTCATCTGTGCTCCCTGTTGTCCCACTAGGGCTTCTCTGGTTTGTCTGCTGAAGGCCTGGTATATGCCAGCACCTTTGTGAGGGCTGGTAATGCCAAAGTGAGTGAACTAATGCTCCTGCTTTAATGGAGTTTGACAAATAGTGGGGCGAGAGCGGTCATTAAAAACACACACACCATCCATAAATAATCTCTATGGTAACAGAAGATATGAAGACAATCAAACTGTGTGATATGAGAGGGACTGGGTTAAGGGCAAGTCCCCTAGGAGATGACATTTGGCCTGAGCCCTCCATGATGGGACAAATGAGCCATGTCAGAATCTATTAGGGAGCATTTTATGAAGCTAGTCCACAGGCAAAGGCGCAGACTCGGAGAGGCATTATTTGTTCCAAGAACAAGGAGGCTGGTGTGGCAGCGTGAGCTGTGCAATGGGGAAATGCACACAGTGGACCCATAGGGGCCAGGCTCCAGATAGAGCAGGCCACAGTGAAGTCTGTTTCACACACAGAAGGAAGACGTTGGCAGGCTCTGGACCAGGGCTGTTGAGATCCTGAGGGCTGTTGAGATCCTGAGGACAGCTTTCTTCGTCTCTGAGCTGGGTTAACAACAGGAAGCAAGTGAAAGGAAACTGTTTACAGAGTGTGAAGGGCAGCCCGTGTGAAGTTAATGCGTGTGCTCAAATATATGTACACAGTTGCCTGTATTGATTTTTTATTTACATTTGAAACCCCTTTGGAGACGTTATCCATGTTCACGTACACAGGACCTGGCTTTTCTGGTGAAGAGGCATGGGATGGTTTGTTAAGAATTTTTTTTGTAAACTCAGCAAGTTGGTTTGTTTGATTTAAGAAGGTCTTTTATAAACATTCATGCTAATGTTTAACATTGAGGTATGGTGCAAATAGGATGAAATGATCCAGATATGTCGGCTAATAGCTCATTATTATGAGACATTATTTCTTACTTTGGCACCGGTATTAAGAGGTAACGTCAGCAGGCTGGGGAGATGGTTCAGAGGTTCAGAGTACTGGTTACTCTTGCAGATTCAATCTTCAGCATGGGTGTGGTGGCTAACAGTCATCCATATTCACACTCTCTTCTGACCTCTAGACACCAAGCATATGTGTGATGCACATACACACATTCAGGCAAAACAATCTTACACATACAATAAATAAATCTGTAAAAGTATTTAAAGAGTTAATACCAGTGTTTGTCTGGTCACAATACAAACCATCAGTGCACTGCACTGTCATACACCCATTTCTAAAGGGTACACAATGACCTTTGGGTCTGTAAGGTGTTAAGCCAAAGAAACAAGATATTCATTGTAAAATAAAATTTTAAGCTACACAAGCATAACTGAGTAGGGCTTTGGGGGGGGAGTTTATCACATTGGGGTTGGTATTGATCAATAAATAGTACATCTGTTTCTCAAGGAGAAAAACTATCAGAGCCGGGCACTGGTGGCCCATGCCTTTAGTCCCAGCACTCGGTAGACAGAAGCAGGCAGATCTCTGTGAGTTCGAAGTCAGCCTGGGCTACAGAGTTCCAGGACAGGTTCCAAAGCCACGCAGAGAAACCCTGTCTGGATAAAAAGAAAGGGAGGGAGGGAGGGAGGGAGGGAGGGAGGGAGGGAGGGAGGGAGGAAGGGAGGGAGGGAGGGAGGGAGGGAGGGAGAAAGGAAGGCAGGCAGGCAGGGAGGCAGGCAGGCAGGCAGGCAGGCAGGCAGGTAGGAAGTCCTAACAGTGCAGAAGCACAAGGATAGGGACAGGACAGAGCGGCTGGGAGAGGGAGCACACAGCAGGGGTACCTAAAGATGCTCAATAAGAAAACTGGAGCTTCCTTCTGAACGACATGTATCCTGGGGTGCTCCCCGCCCCCATGCCTGTCTAGGCATGGGCTTCCTTAGACTCACAGCTGTGAGTGCACAGGACATTAACTGTCATCCAGGCCAGGAGCTGAGGGAGCATCCATTGCCTCCTCTTGCCTGCTTCTGAGGGTGATGAAGAACATCTTCATCCTGACTTGGAACTCTCTCATCCGACATCTGGAAATATTCTAAGTCACACGTTGACGTTAATTCAAAGGAGATAATGAAATCCCAATGGCATCATCCGTGCCTCTGCCGTCAGGCCCAGGAGTTACGCAGTGAAGTAGCTTTTGGATACACAACTTTCCACATCTAATACTTCATGCTTGCCACTCTACATCCTCCCCTCGAGTCTTAATAGATGGACTAAAGATCTGGCTGTACACTATGGGATAAATTATGTGTTTATTATGCCAAGTTGAGTAAATATATTTTGAAAGGATCGCTAGAGAATACAATTGTTAATTACTTTAATATATATTATGTATTATTATGTATATTATGTATATATTATATATTACATTTACTATATTCTGAAAACTGTTAAGCTGCCTATTCTGTCACAGTAGTGTTCCAAAGATGATGATGTTGTTGGGCCCACAAGTTACCACTCACGTTCCGCCTCTGTGCCTGGAACTATTCTGTTCATGTGCAGAGGGGCTCCAGGGGTTGGAATTGAGTCCAGTTGACAGGCTGTCCTTCCTCTAGGGAAGACATAGACTGGCAGGTTGACATGCAGTCTGACGTGATCTCTCTCTTCATTCTAGATGCTGAGGAATACCAGCCTCCAATATGGAAATCATACTGTGAGTACCAAAAGCAGAAAAATCTCTGCAAGTCTTTAACCCTCCCGCCTTGAAGGATCCTTGCTGGGGTGCAGTGTGCATGAAGTCCCATAAGCAGACCCCCAGACCCCAAGCTCTTCTTTTTTACTGAGAAGAGATACCTGTCAGAGAGGGTAAACTGCACTTTAGGACTGCTCCAGAGGGGAGGGGACCTTCTGACTTTCAGTCTGGGGGCATATTTTTATTTTGTGTGTATGTGGTGAGCAAGGGTGAATGTATTAACTTCCATGACTTATGTTCTTTGCACATAACCCCAGGGCTGTAATAGCATTTGACAGGAACTGTTGAAAAATGAACACACAGTGAAGACTGTCTTATCACTCGGGCTGACTAGAAGCATAGATCATGTCTGAGCATGAGCCATCCAGCAACACCTGTCATGAAGGCAGGCAATGCCATCACCTTAAACTCTCTGCCTCTCTCCTTGGCATCATGAGTCTCTCTTAGAATTCTCTCTTAGGAGAAGAAAGGACTGTGGCAGGATGGAGCCCACCATGGCCAAGGCAGGTGTCCCTCCAAGCTCTCTGCTAGGTAGTAATCATATGGGCTGCTGTCACTATTGCTGCTGCTGCCCACTGAGGGTCTTCAGTGGGCTTTGAGTTGCTAACTCTCGGAGTCTCAGCACACCCCAACAGATAGGCACTACTGTTGCCTCTGCCTCAATAAGGAAACCATAGCTCAACAAGGGCAGAGGCTTCTCCAAAAGAAGGCATTAGAAGTAAAGTCCTAATGCCCAGAGGCAAGCCAACTCTTAACCTTCAAGGAAGCATTCAAGACTTCTTTTCTATTTGTTTAAAATCATACATTGATTTTACAGTGGTTTGTACCTGTAGTCCTAGCACTCTGGAGGTAAGGACAGGTGGACCTCTTTGAGTTCTACACCAGTCTTGTGTTATGAGTAGTTTCCTGCCAGCCTGGTCTCACAGTTGAACCAGCTCCAAATAACACACAGAGACACTGTATTAGATATAAAGCTGTTGGCCTGTTATTAGCGTTTCTTATCAGCTAGCTCTGTCTTAAATATTAGCCCATTTCTATCAATCTAAGTATTTCCATGTGGTCTTAACTTACCAGAGAGAGGGTCTGGAGTTCTTCTCTTTTGGCCCTACATTTTGAATCTCTATTACATTTCCCAGAATACTTCTTGTCTCCTAGTCCCACCTATCTTGCCTTCCTATTTGTCGACAGGGTTTTATTCATTAACCAATAAGAGAAACATATTTACAGAATGACATCTCCCACACTCTGGAGGTAAGGGCAGGTGGACCTCTTTGAGTTCTACACCAGTCTTGTCTATATAATGAGTTCTAGAACAGCCAAGTCTACATAATGAGACTCTGTCTCAAAAATTAAAGTTTCAGATTTTCTATGTATATATTTGCCTGCTTATCATTGTAGTCATGTGTCATATAATGGCACCTCTACCAAAAATGGACTGGATCTATGACAACATATACTATCAGAATGGGCCATATGGCACATGTATGTGATAGGCTGTACCATCTAGGTTTGTTTAAGTATACTCTGATGTTTGCACAAGCACACATTGTCTAACAAACGTTTCTCAGTACATGTTCCTATCATAAAATGGTTAGAGGATATATGTACGTTATACATACAGATATGTATATATTTGTTATGACAATATGGAGGTACATGAAATTGAACGTTAGTGGGACTTAGGAGATGGCTCAGCCAGTACACTGCTTGCTTCATAAGGTTGAGACTCTGAATTCAAAACCCCAGCACCTACATAAAGGCAGTGTTGCACATGCCTCTAATCCTACCACCAGGGAAGTGATAGGAGAATTTCCAGGGCCTGCTGGCCAGCCAAGTCTAGCTAACGAGTGAGCTCCAGGTTCACTTAAACTCTGTCCCAAAAAGTAAGCTGTAGCGCAATCAAGGAAGAAACTTGATTTTGACTACTGATATGCACATGCATATGCACACATAAACCAAACACATAAAGCATATGTTAATCTGAGAGTAAGAATTTCCTATAATACATAAACTCACAGTGGAGTCCACCACCCCTTCCCATTGTATGTACCCTGTCATCTTGTAAGACATATGCCTCCCACGTTTAAAAATGTAAAAACATGTTGGGTACTGAGGCCTTTGTCACTTTGTTTTCGCTAATGGATTTCATTGCCCTCGGCACTCTTCAACTTATTTCTCCTCACAGATGTATAGCCCTCATCTTTCTGTGCAGGCACGTGCAGCACTCCCCCATTCTTTATTACACAGGCCTGTTCTTCCATCTGTGAAGTTAGGAACCGTGTGGGTCTCGAAGGGCCCTTCCAATCTAGGGCTCTGCTTTCCCAGCTTCGATTTTTAAAGGCAGTGCTAATGACTTAGTAATTGGATGTTTTTGTTTGTTTGTTTCCTAATGGAGTGTGAAGTACTCTGACAGTAAATCAACAGAATATCCCTGAGTAGAAGTGTTGGGTGTTCCTTGAACTACCGGGCATCACACACTGCCTTGCTCATATTAACAATCCCATAAATATTTGTTGAGCAAATGCCACTACTGGGGGCTTTTCTGAAATACTCGATATTGGCTCAAATTCATCTCCTCTTTCTCTAAGTGACCTTTAGGTCACCCAATGTATTTCTTAAAAGCACTTTTCTATCCTAAGGAAGCTAGGAAGAGCATTACATGTCTACAATATCAATTTGCCCTAGTATATTAGGTTGGAATTTTACTTATGGATCTAGAATCATAAGATCTTACTTGAAGAAAGGATAGTTGGGGCTATTTAATACAAATTTAGTGGCATATACAAAGTTCTTTATTATATCAGACTAATAAGCATTCATTATGGCACATGACACACAGGACACCAAAGCCACGTTGATCAAAGCCCTACAGAATATCACTTTTTAAGAAGTTCTTGGTCATTGTGGATCAGGGAATTCTTTGTGGTCAAAGAGTGAACTAGGAGCTATGGGCCCACAAGGATGCATAAGACCAGGACTTGACTCAAAGAACACCAGCGTCACATGATGGCTCTAAATCCCTGCTCTCTCCGCTTCCCTGTGGGGAGTAGACTGATGTTCTTAGGGACAAACACTATCACTTACTTAACTATGTCCATGGGATTATCTTAGTTCTAAACATCATACATATGGAACTCAACTACTAAGACCAATCCCCAAAACTAAGGGCAAAGTCTTTGAGGAAGTGCTGGAGTTGAGGGCCTAAAAGAACAGCCACTTTTGAATTCACTTGAAGTAATAAGGAGACCACATTTGGATGATAGGCCAGAACTGTGTGAAATGTGGGCCCGGAGCTGACAGGTTCAAATGCCAACCATCGTGAGAATATTCTGAGGTTTTCCTTTGTAAGAGGCCAAAAGCCAACCAGGCAGGAGATGCTGGGGCTGACAGCTCTCCCAGGAGCCTTCTCCAGTGGGAGGTCAGACACTCACAGCTTGTGCCTCTTTTTCTAAGTGAAAGCTTGGCCTCTCACCTCCTGTAGAACAAGCACCTGACAGGAATATGACAGTAGTTATTCTTTGATCCTATTCCAATCTGTGAGTCATAAAAGTAGCATGTCTGCAATTTGTTAAACCCCATAGGTTACCTGACTCCCTGCTTGGGGGCCCCATAAGACTTGTCTTTGGGTTGCCATGGTGCCATTGGCCAAGTAGTAAATTTGTTGTTGTTGTTGCTAACATATGAAGCTGTTTAATTAGGTTGATAGCAATTTAGACAACCAGTTTGTGAGGACACATCCCGTTTGTCAGAGAGAACTGAGACCGCAGGTAGCCCTGAAGCTGAGGAACAGCTTTGATCTTTGGCAAAAGCTGCGAGTCCACCGTTCTCTGATGGGCCTTGTGCTGCTCTGTAATCTGCTATTTCTCCTTCCCTGTGTCAAAGATCTCGCCCTCCTGGTGCCTGGGCTTGTGCAACAGCTGCTTCTTGGAGTAAGCATCACTCAGGTGTTTGGGGATCTTAACCTCGCCGATACCAACTTTTGGAGAGGTGGCGATGACAAATTTCTGGTTCTTCGCAGAGGAACTCTGTTAAGGGCAAGAGGTTTTGTCACAAGTAGCAAGCCGCTGCCCAGCTGCTTCAGGAAAACCACCCTGTTGCCTCTGTGGCGCATCCCTGTGTTGACTCATCTCTGTGTTAAGATGGGTCAGTTTGTTCTAAGGAAAAGAATAAAATATTAGCTTTCTCAATTATGAGATTTCAAGGGAAGGTGGACATCCCTTTCTCTGCCTCCATATTCCTGAGTGACCTCCAGCCCTGCCAAACAGGTTGGTCTAGTGGAAGAATTCTCTCCTATGCACCCCACCCCCATCCAGGGAGGGCCGGCAATATGCTCAGGGCATTGTCCTAGAAGCAGATTCTGCCATGTCACCTCTCTGCTCGTGGTGGTTCATTATTGCATTTTGCTTGGGAAATGTTTGTTGAGTTAAATTGGGAAGTGATGATTTCAGACTTTGTGATAGGTTTCAGTTACCTTGAATGTGTCTTGGAGAATTATTCCCATGGTGTTTGTTTTAGCTAACCCTTCCAGTGATAGGCAGGCTCTTACTGAAAGCTGCCTAGCTTTTGTTTGGTTCCTATTGCAAGTGTCTGTCGTGTCAACATCTGGAGAGACAGACACATGACCTTCATGGTATGCTGGCTTCCCTTGCATTTGGCAAATTCTGCTGCTGAGAGAGCATACACAAGCCTTAGAGTTCTGTAGACCTTCTGGCTGAGAAAAGGGTTATGGGTTAATCCTATCTGCTGTGAGGGACCACGAAAAGGTCCCTCTGGGGATTATTGGGCTGCAGAGGCCTGTTCCTCTTCCAAACTATCCCAGGAGCTTCTGTTCCCAGGTGTGTGGTTCCTAATCCCGCATCTCTCTGTGCTAAAGTGCCTAGTGCCCGGAGGGTGAGGTTATGGGACTTGGGCTGCTGCTGATGTTAAGGCTGCTGTCCAGAAGTGCACCATCACCTGTGTCC